GGCCATAACTCTCAGCGTCTCTAACTAACGACAATCCTCATCCCTTGGGTCCCAACCTGGAAGGCGGGCTGGACCAACCGAAGCTAGCTTCTTCATACGTCTACGCCATGTCATGTGATGGTTCGACCCCCATGGCGTATCTTCCAGTCTTGCCCGGCACGCGCGAAGAGAGCACGGAAAGGAAGTCGATGGGCAGGCATACGCAATACCTGACTGAGCCATCGGAGGCGGTGTAGAGCGATTACTTCTGTTAGAGAACGGCTATCCGCACCTAGCACACGACGACGAACCTCGTCATTACTCACCCGGTGTTCCCAGCAGACACGAGCAATGCTTCGGAGACATCGGTGGTCGAATAAAGAAAGTCGATTTAGAATCCTCGACGCGGAGGGGCCATATCCCGCAACCGTAAAGCAAAACGCTACGAACCGCGGCGATGTACACCCTTCCCTTAATGGACAGTCGGATATCATTGGGGCGCCATAGGTGTCGCAGGTTGGCGAAAGCTGCTTTAGCTTACGCCATTCGTGATGTGATCTCCTCCCTAACACTTCCACCAGCTGCGATCAAGCTTTCGAAGTACTTAAAGCTCTCAACGACTTCCAGTTCGTCACCACAGAGGGTGAGTGCAGGCAGAGGCTCCTACCAATCTTGAACAAGCACTTTACACTTTGATGGTGCAAAGCACATACCATACCTGGATACCTCGATCGCCGAGCGGTTGAAAACATTTTGGACTCCTTGTGCATTATCACCAAGCAAGGCGATGTCATCGGCATACTCTGAGTCAAGGACTCTGTTCCCCGGGAGGAGTTCGACTCCACCGTTTTCCAGGCCGACCAAAGCATTCCGTAGAACATTTTCTATGACAAAGTTTAAAAAGAATGGGGATAAAGAGCAACCTTGCCGAACTCCACTGGAGACAGCGAAGTGTGGCGAAAGTTGGCCTTAAGCCCTAACCCGACCTGAAATATGACGACACAACTCTGATGATTGACACATACTTCTCAAATACTCCATTCCTCAACAAACAGTTCCATAGTGCGGTTTTATGAACAGAGTCGAAGGCCGCGCGGAATTCTAAGAATACAATGATCGTGGGTCTTTAATAGGCCCCAGTCATGGTGAAACTGGTTGCTGGACCAACCGAATATTAGATTAACATTTTACATGTTGAAGGTGCAAAACGCATACTGAACATGCCTACACTAGCAGTACAAATATCCAGGAGAGCTTTCAACTTACCAAGATCTTTATTCGGTATCACAATGTAGTCTGCATACTCTAGATCAGACAGTTTTCCACCCGGGAATAAATCGATGCTGCTATCGTCGCATGAGGATAGAGCTGTTTCAAGAATTATATCTATCACGAGGTTAAATAGAAAAGGAGAGAGAAAGGGCAATCCTGTTGAACACCACTTTCTGTATTAAACTCGGGTGAATACATGCTGTAAGCTCAGTTTCGACTTCCGCTATTACTATAGAAGGATTGTAATATTGAAATAAACTTCTCGGACACACCCCTCTCTGATGGGCAGCGCCAGATTTTAGAGCGGTCGACTAAGTCGAACGCAGCTTTCAGGTTGAGGAAGTTGGAAGTGGTGGGTCTACGAAGGAGTGTCTGTGTTCTAGGATTTGACGAAGAGTGAAGATGTGGTCGGTACAACCTTGACCAGGTGTAAAATCAGCCTGGTTCTCACGTGTGCACACTTCACGAGCGGAAGACAATCGACGGAGTATGATGCCGGCGAGAAGTTTAGAGGCAATGTTGAATAAACTAGTTCCTCTGGGGTTTTCACATTAGGACCTGTCGCCAACTGAATGGTGTAAATCAGCATTAGTACTGATTCACACCATTCTGTTGGAATCTGTTCCCTCTCCCACATTGAACCCAGGAGTTTCGGTAACTCCGAAATCAAGACTGAACCTCCATCCCTAAAAACGGATGGGGACGGTCCGTCGGGACCGGAGGCCTTACGCCTTTTGAGATAGCTTATCTATCTGGAAACCTCCATGGTCCGTGTCCGCGCGTGTTGACCGGTAGGAGCGGCAGTCCTCAATGGATCCACGCCGGCGGTGGATGATGGCGAGTCGGTCGATTTGAGTCCAGTGCTGTGAAGAAGTTGGCGGTCTCCACATAGGCCGATGCCGTTTTTTGTGCGAGATTTTCGTCCCCGACAGAAACAGTCCGTGGTCAGCACAAAGTTGGAGTAGGCGTTCTTTGTCAGTCCTGTTAGCCGGGATTGCATGTGAACCACCAAGTAGCCCCTCTGATTCATCTACGGATCCCGTTTGAGTATTGAATTCTCTAGCGACTACCACAGTGTCCGTTGACCGAGCACTTTGGAGCGGTCAAGAGAGGTCCTTGTAGAATTCATCCTTCATTTCTGGTAAACTGCAATCCTTCGGTGCATACGCGGATACGACGACTGAGCATCGACGCTTCGATCTGTAGCTGTTGATCTGTTCTGAACCATACACGCAAAATCGGCTTTTAACCAGGATCCAGTTGTAAAGTGGACGCTCGGCCTTAATACCCAGCGCAATCCGTAAATTATTCTCTCCTTGTTGCGAACGGATTTGCCAAAAAATGTAAAATCCAGTGACCGGAAATTAGAAGTGCCTTCGAATTTAGGATTACCACAGTAGCGCAGCGTTTCTATGGCAACGAAGAACGTGTGTGGCACATAAAATCCACGGAGGAGTGATTGTGTAATTCCCAATCGGCCGATGTAACGGACCGCGCGGTCGAATTCAAAGGCCCCGCCTGAGACAGGAAACGGACACAGGTGTCATTTCAAAAGTAGTGATTAGGTTTGGAGCATAACTAATGAGCTTTCTGAATTTGTTTCATCCTGCGTTTTAGCAAAGCTTGAAAGCTACCACGCGAAACAACTGTGATGAATTGGAGTTTGAAGGTCTCATTTTTATCATTCCTTGTCATTAGACACCATTCAACCTTATTCTGTGTTCCTTTTTACTTTTTTGATTGCAGCGCTCACTAACTCATGTTCATGTCCGCAATCTTATAGGTGCACAACTACACGGGAACATATGATTTACACCGTTGACGTCGCTCCGAATTTCGTTTCTCGTGCTGGCTATCTACTAGCCGAAATGGCCACCAATCCGGCCTATTATGCATGGGAATTGAAGTCACATACAAACAAACTGATGAAGAAGGATATTGAATTACTGAATCGTCGAAATTTAGAAGCACGTAAGTCTCGCCTGCCATGATGCTAAGCGAAAGTAGGTGTTACTGTGTAAAGTATTTAGATGATACAGAGCATTACTACCATGAAAGTGATACAAGAATATTCTAAACACGACAATGCCCGCGATCGTTGGTCACTCTGGAGTCGACGGATCGTGCATAGATTATTATCCTATCTATGTAGGATATCTAAGAGATAAACCAACATGACAACGAATGGAACAGGAAACCTAAAAGAATATACCTTTTGGCTTGATGCATCACAACGTCTTCAGTATTTGATATATTGCTTATTACTAACTATCTTCAGAAGTTGCATATTTTATTATTTCATGATATTCATCATATACAAGGAAGAGCAAGCCGAAAGCATAGTATAGCTGTTTCGACCCTCTTATATGTCGTCAGCATTACAAATTCGTCGACCCAACTGAGGTCAGAACCCGAGACTTCACGCTTGTGTACTACCCAATTTACCACCGGAAAGTTCCACCCATCTTTGCAAGCAGTTGACCTTGTTCGTCTTAGCACGCATCCCGAGGTGATGAAGCCGTCAGGAGCATAATTGCGCGGATTACTTAGTGCTTAAAGTAGAGGAATATTCAGTTCGATTAGTTTCACATTTGTACGAATAACAAAAACCTAACCATTTACGTGACCTAATCATTATATATCTCTAATCTGCTTGTAAGTTACTAATCGTTTCGTTAACTAACATTTTGTGCAAATACCTTAGTTTCGACAACGGTTTGCAACTACTTCATATGAATTAGTGAAATACTCAGCTAGTCCGCGTCCTCGTGGTAAAACCAAACCAGCTTTGTCATGGACTAATCTCTTCACATGAAACAGTTGTGTTCCGGTCGTGGTCAAGTTTAGGAACCGCTGGAGGTAACGAAATACTCGATTGGCACATGTTGCGTTTGTTTGACTATATGCACCATCGGTTTATCGCATAACCCGTTGGCATGATTATATTGTAATTATATTTGGCTGTCCTCACCTTGGAGTTTCAAGTTGTTTATCTGCTCTAACATGGATCTACTGGCGGAACCCCCAGCAATATGTGCTATTCAAGCAGTTTAGTTCACTGTCCCTACTGTGCTTTAAGTTGGGAAGGTTTGTGGTTTGAACTTTGTCACCGCTACTCAACTTTGACGCTGAGCACTTACGCTGCCTCGTGGTTACATGCCATACCTATCCTAGTGGCACCAATGAGCGTTCA